GTCTAACAATAAAAAAATGTTAATGACTTAGTAGATATTTGGACTGGAATAGCAGGTCTGAAAAGAATGCTATATTCATTGGTATTGACCCAAAGATCCATGATATATACTTTAGTAAATAAAAGATTATATAACAAAATACAGACAATAATATGCTTGTATAAAATTGTGATTCACATAAAAATGTCCAGAAAAATATTTGCCAGCATGCTATTAGTGGTTTTCTCTAGTGATGTAATTTTGGATGATTTAGTCATCTTCCTCTTATTTTTCTGTATGTGTGATTCCTTCCTTTTTCTCTTATTTTCCTTCTGTCTTTCTTTCTTTTTTTACAATGAGCATATATAATTTTTATGGTTCCTAAAAACAATAGAGACATTTTTTATTTTGGAAGAAGAAAACACAGAGCTGCTAAAGGTCAATGAAACACGTCTGACAAATTTTGAACCTTCATGTTTAAGGCCATTATGAGTCATTCATAGTCAAAAGACATTACAAGACAATTCCCCCCTAGAGAAATACATGGTCAATAAAGGTCTGAAAAAAATCCTTAAACCTTATGAGCAATCAAATAAATGCAGTAAGACAATGAGTTTCCATTCTCTTCTAACATATTGGTAAGAGAAATAATATTTCCTTTTCATTGGTTTATAATCCTGGATGTTTCTAAAAGTCAAGTCTATTATCAAGAGATGATTTAATGTCAACACAGCTGCCCTTTAAGTCTTGAACTTTTCAAATTAGCACTACTGATATTATTACAGTTATGAGCTGTTTCCTAACTGAGGCAATGAGGCATCTCTACTGAGCTTGGATGAGCGGCCTTGATCAGCGACCACACGGACCGATGCTAGGAAAGGATTCAGGCAACCTGCCATCTAAAAGGCCAAGATCTTGTCCACCATTTGGATGGAATCCTGTGGAACGCTTTCTCGAGTCTATTTTAATTTGATTAATTTCTCCAATTTATAAAGCTGGAAAGTTTTTTTTTTTAGCACAATTGCATTATCTCATGGAGGCTTTATGGATTTGAATCACCAATATGCATTAACATAGCCACAATTAAAGCAAACTAAATGTCTTTGTTGGTAGGGTCTCTGCTCTTCAGCCTTTAAAAATGCTATCTATACGCTTTATCTTTAGCAGTGGGACAGAATGTTCTGTTCATTCAAATACATCCATTCATCAAAGCAGAGATGAAACTCAACTTCAAAAAGTGACCTTGCATTTGGAAGTTGGATTCTTAGCCAGCAGGAAATAGAGACTATAACTGGAGTGCTCAGATGGGGGTGGTTAATAGGACGTCACTGATTTGCAAAAACACAGTGATTTCAGGGACATCCATGTTCACACTTGCATCCTGAAACAAATTCCTCTCCTTTTTGCCCTCTGATTACTCAATTTCTCCAACTAAGCGCTCTTTCCCACAATGTGACCGAAGGTATAATATACACATTTTCCAAAGTGGGGGACAGAATGACTTATACTCACTAATGGGTAGCAGTGACTGACCCCAAGCCTTTTCTGGAATGGAAGGGCATGGTGCAGAAGGTCATTACCGCAGGAAAAAAAAGATCAAAGAGAAGCCAGAAAAGATGGCAGACCAGTGTTGTGGTTTATTCCGGTCAGACAGTAGCCCATGTTACACAGTTATTGGCAGTTTGTATGAACATGCAACCAGGAATGGTCATCACTGTCCATTTGTCTATTCCAAGACACACAGATTTTGACATCTACCGTCGTCTTTGAAAATACAAGACTAATGTCTTGTATATCTGTTGTTGTTGTTTTTCAGCCGCTAAGTCACGTCCGATGCTTTGCAACCTCATGGACTGTAGCCAGCCACACTCCTTTGTCCTGCACTATCTTCCGGAGTTTGTCTTGTGTATAGAAGTTCCATTAACAGAAAACCAATAAATCCAAGCAAGTTATTAGTCAAGTTTCCCTATTTTTCTTGTATCCTGCTCTAAATAAGAGACAAATGTCAAGTATTGAAAGGCAATTGAGCAAACTATTCAATATAAGAATTCTACAAGTTACCATACATAGCACCTTAATCTTCCTTTTTCAACCTCTGATCCTAGACAGTTAGCTGCCTCCTCATACTGTGAGATCAGATATGGTGGTGTCTTTTTCACTTTTTATTTACTTTTAATTGAAGGATAATTGCTTTACAATGTTGTGTTGGTTCCTGCCATACACCGACATGAATCAGCCATAGGTTTACATGTGTCCCCGTCCTCCCGAGCCTCCCTCCCATCTCCCGCCCTGCCCACCCCTTTCGGTTGTCACAGAGCACTATTCTGAACTCCTTGAGTCGAACGGCAAATTCTCACTGGCTCTATTTTCCATGTGGCAATGTGCATGTTTCCATGCTCCTCCCTCCGTTTGTCCCACCCTCTCCTCCCGCCGTGTCCACAAGTTTGTTCTGTCTGCGTCTCCACTGCTGCCCTGCATTAGGTTCATCAGGACCATCTTTCTAGATTCCATATATGTGTGTTAATATATGATACTTGCTTTTCTGACTTTCTTCAATCTGTATAATAGGCTTTAATTTCATCCACTTCATTAGCACTGACTCAAATGTGTTCCTTTTTATGGTTGAGTAATATCCCATTGTTTATATACCATTGTTTATATATATCACAGCTTCTTTATCCATTCATTTGTTGATGGACATCTAGGTTACTTCTATATCCTGGCTGTTGTAAATAGTGCTGCAATGAATATTGGGGTACATGTATCTTTTTCAATTAAGGTTTTCTCAGGGTATATGCCCAGTAGTGGAATTGTTGGGCCATATGGTAGTTTTATTCCTAGTTTTTAAAGGAATCACCACACACTGTATTAGCTATAGTGTTGTCTTAAAATTCCAGTTGCCCTCACCAGATCATTTTACCAAGAGACAGAGATGCAAACATTTTAGAAAACATTCAACAAGGCTTCCATCTCAAACTCCTCTCTAAATTCTTTCTGGCAAGAGTTCATGTCATGAGCTGAAAATATATTTTAATTCTCAGGCAAATTAATTGTGTGTAACTAGCCTACATAAGGTTCCATTACAGGCATACTAGAAAAATATAACTCAATAAACCCTAAAGTTTCAGCAAACCAATAGGCCTTTTAGCTATGTTTTGTCAAGATTTGGATGTGACATTGAAAAATAGAAGGAAATGAAAATTTTTTTTTAAAATGGTAATGGTCCTATAGCTTTGAATTAAAAAAATTTACACTGAGCAAGGCAGAAACCAACACAATATTGTAAAGCAATTATCCTTCAATTAAAGAAATTTTCTACATTTATTCCTTTGTTTGACTTTCCTACTGTTCTTTCCCCCTTGTAGTTAATCTTTAATGCATATAAATCTTCATCTACCTCTATTTAACTTTGCAAATCCATTCTTTCCTTCTTTCCTCTCTCCATATTAGTTAGTCTTGTTTTCATTGCTCTATTCTCCACTTGGCACCTTGCTTTAGTTTTGTCTTCCAGTTTGTGCTTTAGAGAGTTTTGTTCTTAACTGGTAAATATAATTTTTGATTTCCTTTGTTCACTGGGTCAATCTACTGTCCTATATTTTAGTTGGACTGTTTTTACTTTGCTTATGGGTGTATATGTATATGTGTATGTTCCATTATTTTAAACATTTTTTGCCTGATTTTGTAACTGCCATTTGTCTGGGGTTCATCTTTGGATATTTGTTTTAATCTCACTTAATGCCATAACAAACCCCTTGTGGAATCTTCGTTCCTGACCAGAGATCAAGCCCTGAGCCTTTGGAGTGGGAGCACTGACTCCAAGACCCGAGACCACCAGAGAACGATCCCTAGGGAGCATCACATAGTGAGAACTCACACAAAGGAGGCCGCTTGAGTACCAGACCCTGCGTCACCCATCCACCAGTAGCACCCTGTGCAGGACGCCTCATCTGGCAACACACTCACACAAGTACAAACCCAGTCATCAGCAGACAGCACACCACCTCACTCAGCCTAGCCCATCGGAGGAAAAACAAACAAACAAACAAAAACTCAGCACAAACCTCACCTGATAGGAAGCTCACACAAACCACTGGACCAGCCTTAGGAGGGCAGAAACCCAAAGGAAGAAGGAATGCAACCGTGAAGCCTGGGAAAAGGAGACCACAAACACAGTACATTAAAAAAAATAATGAAAGGCAGCGAAATACTACACAAGTGAAGGCACAAACTAGAAACACAGGAGTCCAAATAAATGAAGAGGAAATAGGCAAACTACCTGAGAAAAAATTCAGAATAATGATCTTAAAGATCAAACACCTTGAAAACAATATGGAGAAAATGCAAGAATCAATTAAAGGTAAAGAAATTTTAAAAATTACACTGAGGATGAAAAGCTTCTAACAAAATAAATCCTCACTTTCCAAGCCTTTAAGATGGAGTAAGATGCTAGGCAGGCTTGCCAGCTGACACTAGTGGAAAGAAGCCACCTGCCAATGCAGGAGACGCAGACACAGGTTTGATCCCTGGATCAGGAAGACCCCCTGGAGTAGGAAATGGCAACGCACTCCTGTATTCTTGTCTGGAGAGTCCCATGGACAGAGAAACCTGGCGGTCTCCAGACAATGGGGTCGCAGAGTTGGAAACGACTGAATCAACTTAGCATGCACATAGGCAAGGTACCAGGCAATAGCTAGCAAAATTGGTGAGGGTCCAATTTTGGAGGGTGGACCCAGCCAACTTACATACTGTCAAGAGGCAGCCAGAACATTAAAGGCTCATCTAGATGGGCCTGGATTCTAATCTATGGGACACCCAGAGGCAAGTCTAGACAGCACCTGCTTGGGAACTTGTATTTCCTTTCTAGCTCCAGCTGCTGGAAATTCTTCCTGACGTGAGTCAGAACCAGAATCCCCCCAAATTCTCATGCCCTGGTCCTAGGTCTGACCTGGGTGATGATGGACAGACACCTGTCCCTCCCCTGCACTGAGATTGCCCCCTACCCTGGGTCTCTTCTCACTCACCTGTTCCTCCCGCTGAAACACCCTTACTCGCTCCTTCCACTCTATCCGGCGTGGTTGCCAGATGCCTGATCTCCAGGAGCCATCGGCCTCAGATGTGGTGCCCAGACCTGAAATGTATTAGTGCCCACGCATCTCCGGAGCTCAGAGAAGATGCAGACTGCTGCCCTCACTGCCCTTGGCCAAGACCGGCTCTCAGCGCACCTGCGCGCTCTGTGTCTCCTCGAGTCCACTGCACAGAAGTGCTTCCTCACGGAGATGCAGCAAACGTGTGGAAGGCTCCCATTTCTTTGGGAAAATGTCACCCTCTGGAAGAGGAGGTGGTGCTTTTATCTATTTTATGTTTGATGTGACCTTTTGCTTCTGAGCCACACAATTATTCTTACTGTGTGGAGGAAAAAGGGCGTAGATGGTGAAACTACTCTACGGAAGAAAGTCAAGGAGTTGTCATCTCAGATTTGAACTTAATCTGGGCTCAGGTGTTTTGAGCCGGTTATTACGGATGCGAGCAGGCGTTGGTGGCCACAGGCCCTTTCCGTTACAAAGAGACTGAGATCTTGAGAGCAGAGCGAAGTAAGTCAGAAAGAGAAGAACAAACATCGTATGTTATGGGAAATGTATGGCATCTAGAAAAATGGTACAGATGAACCTATATGCAGGGCAGGAGTAGAGATACAGATGCAGAGAAAAGACTGCGGGTGTTGGGGGAAGGGGAGGGTGGGACAAGTTGGGAGCTTGGGACTGACATATACACGGCCATGTAAATAATAGCTAGCGAGATAAATAGCCATGGTAAATAGCTAGCGAGAAGGTGCTGTGTAACGCAGGGAGGTCAGCTTAGGGCTCTGGGGGCGCTCAGAGGGGTGAGTGCGGTTCATGGAAGAGGGGATGTATGTGTTTTAGTTACTTCAGTCGCTCGGTTGTGTCCAACTCTTTGCAACCCCATGAACTGCAGCACACCAGGCCTCCCTGTCCATCACCAACTCCCGGAGTTTACTCAGACTCATGTCCATTGAGTCGGTGATGCCATCCAGCCATCTCATCCTCTGTCGTCCCCTTCTCCTCCTGCCTCCAATCCCTCCCAGCATCAGGGTCTTTTCCAATGAGTCAGCTCTTCACATCAGGTGGCCAAAGTATTGGAATTTCAGCTTCAACATCAGTCCTTCCAATGAACACCCAGGACTGATCTCCTTTATATGTATATGTATACATATAGCTAATCTGCATCGTTACACAGCAGAGACATAACACAACATGTTGTATAACATTGCATAACACAACATTGTAAAGCAACAATCCTTCAATCAAAGAAAGAGTTACTGTGAAAATGCATTGTGTGGACAGTGTGTTTAAGGCAGGGTGGGGGTGGGCTAGATAGGGCAGAGCTGACATGAATCAGACAGACATGGAGGCAGGAAGGTCGGGTGGGGACATTCAGAGAGTCTTCACTCGTCCCCCCTTTTGTTTCTTGAGTCAACAGATCCCGGCCCCTGCGGGGTGACTCACAGGCCATCTTCTCTCCGAGGTGCCGTGTGGTATCACCAGTGACTATGAGACAGTGGCTTAGAGACCAAAGCAGAGAAGCAGCAAGATACAGAATAATAGCTTTACATGGCTGGAAATTAGAAATGCTGGCCAGTGAGTTCCCCAAACCCACCAAGCTCCCAATTTCCCACAAGCACCCCTCGAGCCTAATACCATTGGGAAAACCTTAGATCGGCCACTGGCTCACATGGTCTGCGCGTGACGGCCACTGGACTCCAGGCAGAGGGCCTCTGGCTCGTGGGAAGGGCGGGCCCCGAGGAAGGGCTTGGGGCAGGCGGGTTTTGGAAGGAGAGCGCAGGAAACACAAGTTAAGCAGTGGGATCTGTGAGACGGGGGAGGACCTCAGGGCCGGGACAGATGGCTCCCTGAGCGCTGGAGGAAGCCTGAGGTAGGGTGGCCAGCAGGGTCCATGGCAGCTCGGCCTGAGCTTGGAAGGGAGGGGCCGAGGGCCTGGGCGTTCCAGCACCTGCTTCAGAAGAAAGTGATGAGGAACACCGCGAGTCAGACGTCCCAAGTCAGTAACCAAGGTCTTCTCTCAGCTTCACCTTCACCTCCAGACGCAGCCCTGGGGTGCAGGGTGCAGCAGGGGATGGCCTGACCTGCCTCCTTGGCCAGCTGGGTCCCTGCAGGGACGAGCCCACGGAGGGGACCCTGCAGCCTGGGAGACGGGGGGCCGTGCTCTCTCCCCCCGTTCCTGGTGGCCTCACCCCAGAGGTCAGCAGCACCCCCCTCCTGTCTCTGTCTGCAGTACCGTGCTGGGCCCCTCCTCTCAGCCACTCTGCTGGGCTCCTCCTGCAAACCCCTAGATTCTCATCACCCCGGCCTCTGCCCACGCAGAGGCTGCTTCCTGCAGCTACAACCTCACCGTCCTTCTCTCACCTCTCCAGTCCTCTGGTCCAGTTTAATCTGTTCCTCGTAATAGTTTTCTGCGTTGAGGTGTCTCTGAAAATCTGGAGTGGGCTTTCTTTTGCTGAGCAGACCCTGCTCAGTCATCTAGGAAAAGTGAAAGAGAGGGCGTGAGCTGAGGTGAGGACAGGAGAGGTGGGGACCGACGGGCCCCTGGGGACCTGGGAACAGCTGATGCGTCAGCCCAGGTGGGGGTGATGGAGGCGGGTCAGGAGCGAGCTGCATTGATGGTGAGGATAGGGCAGGTTCCTGGAGGTGTCAAGAGGGGACCACGGACCAGGAGGCCTAGGAGAGAGAGCTTTCCTTCTGTCAGTTTCTTGTGAGTCAGACAATTCCATCTTGTGTTAGTCCAGAGAACTTCAACACGTGCGGAAAGGAGCCCTCGTTGAAACTGAAGACTTGACAGACAGAATCCGGTGGACCAGTGCAGATGCTAGACGTGCGGGGCCTGGAGAAGAAAAGGTTCCAGGGGGGCTCTGGAGACATCATGTCCCAGGACTGAAACCGGGCCCCAGGATGGAGAGCGCGCTGGTCTGGAGTGCAGGTCAGTGGGCAGTGTCCACTCCTCTGGCCCGTGCATCCGTGTGACCCGCGCACGGCCAGCCCCTGCTGTGCACCGTCCGCTTTGTGGACCCGGGACACCGGGGCCCAGAGGTGAGGCTGTGAGATCGGAACGGTCCGAGATGGCATTGATTCTCACTGTGAGCTTCAGGATTCCACGAGTCCCTGCTTTCACGATGGAGTCAGAACAACCTCCAGACACAGCCGGACATTTCTATGTTGAAGAGCTGGAGCGGAGGCCGTCCCGGGAGAGTCTGCTTTCTGACTCCCCCTTAAGTATCATCACCTGCGTGCCTCCCGAGGGCGCCTGCGTTCTTTAGTGAGTGGGGGGTGGGCCCGGGGGGCTAAGGAAGTGCTGAAACCAGGTCTGCTTCTCTCCTGACAGAGGGGGCACCTCTCAGGAGCCCACGATCACTCAGCCTTGGCACTGGGAGCCACACTTCTTGTCGCAGAGGGTGCGGACTTCAGAAAAAACATTCAAGGGCATCTGCGAGGTGGGGGTCCCCTCTCCTGTCCGTCCTCAGTTTCAGGCTTTGTGTCCAGTGCAAGGCCTCCCGTCTGCCCGGCTTCATCCCTCAGCCAAGGCGTGTGGCAAGGTCCGGGCTCTGCAGACTCAGGCAGGTGGCCGCAGGGGCTGTTCAAGCTGGCGTTGGGAGACTCAGCTTTCCCTGGCGCGCGTGGCCCTGGGGACCTTGGCGCTTTTCTTCACTGGCCTTCACCCCTCCACAGTCTAGTTGCTCCAAGCTTTTTATATCAGAGAAGACAAACACGCGGGTGAGCCCGCCTCCGCTGGCTAGCTGCAGGCCTTGGATACCATGGCAACTGAACGCGCGGGGTCAGCTCCAGGTACGTCCTGCAGGGGACGCAGAGCAGATTCAGGTCTGAATCCCAGTGGTCTCAGCCCGCCTCCAGTTCGAGCTGCCCTTCCTGCCAAGGTGGGCTGTGTGATCGCAGGATCAGGGGGGTCAGATGGAAGAAGAGGCTGTAAGAGAAGCATTTCCCCCGAACCCTCTGCCCCTCCCCCACCGAGGTGGTCTCTGAAGACTCCCCGAAGACCCCTGGAGTTCTGCACAGTTCAACATGCAAACACGGGCCTGAGGGTTTCCTGATCTGGTGCCTAGCGATGTGTTTAGGAAAACACCATCTAGGATGAGGCAGGCTGAAACCCAAGCAGCTTTAGTGGCTAGACTTTACCCATCCTAAAAGAGTCATGGTGGAGAAAACCCCCAGCAGGGCCCAGGCAGTGGGGGCATTGACAGCACACAGGACACTCAAGACACACAGCACTTGTCGCCAGGCAACCACGCTGTCTTACAAACTGCTGTTTGCTGGCGACGCCGATGACAAGGGAGTCTTCTCGTCCACCTCACCTCCCGGGCTGGAAGGGGTCGTTGAGATCACGTTGTCAGAAAGGGCTACGGTGGCGTTTTTGTAACTTCCAAGCCGGGGAGTTTCCCTGACATGAATCTGGAAGGTCCCTGTGGCATCCACTAACTGGGGAGTAAATAGGTATCTCGTCTAACAGGCAAAGGGCCGCATGCGGCCCTCTGCTTCTCTGTAGCGCCCTGAAGGTTTTGGAAGGGAGGGCTTCCCAGTCCACAGGGACCTTTGGAGGAGAAGCTACAACGAATCCTGAGTGTGGGCAGTTGAATTCCCTGGGGAACCGAGTGCCCTCACTGGGCCCGAGGAAGCCAAAAAAGCCAAGACCTGGACTCGGGCCAGTCTCTCCTTGGAGGACGCACAGCCCGCTCTGGGCACCTGTCGTCCCTTTGATGTCTCTCTGTCCCTCTGGAGTCCCTCTCTGGGTCCTGCCTTCCTTGTGCCACACAGAGCCACCCATGGGCCCGGCCTGGGCAGAGGTGCCCCTCCTCCTAGTGATGGGCTGTTTGTACACGAGTCCCCTCCTCTCTGTCCCCTTCCCTCCCACCCCCTTTCCCTCCTCTCCCCTTCCCTCCTCTCCCCGCCCCTCCTCTCCCTGCCCCATCCCCCTGGAGTGGGCTCGGCAGGCACAGGGGTCGCCCCCCACCCCAGCAGAGAGAACAGAGGCAGAAACAAGAGACGTGACCTTCTCAAGGCCGCAGAGACGGGGGAGGCGCGATTCAGAGGCCGGCGGTCCCCTGGTGCGAATGCAGGCTTGTGGCCAGCGCCCCAGGTCCACGCCCCCACCGCCCACGTGCTGGCAGTGCCGAAGTCGACGCCATCCACACCTGGAGAAGCAGGAGGGCCCCTGCTGGGCGAGCCGCCCCCCCTGCAGCCCCCTCCCCCCGGGAAGGAGGACCCTCTGTTGGATGGAAGCGTCTACAGCAGCTGCTCTGCTGAAGTTCCTTCGCTTCGGTTGGCTATTGGCGGCATGTGGATTTTAAATGCCTGATCCTTGGAAGGCCTGGTTTCCTTTTAAAAACGCCGGGGCTGTGAGTGTCCACCCTCTCACCCCACCCCCACACCTTGTGTTTTCCCCGGGGCTGTGAGAACCCTCCCTGAGCTGCTTTTGCCCCTTCGTCAGAAACCAGTTGGGCATATGTATGCGGGTCTATTCCTGGGTTCTCTCTTCCGTCCTATTGATCTGTGTCTGTCTCTACTCCAACGCCACAGTCTTGTATAGCTTATGTTATAGCCATGTAATAAGGCTTGAAATCAGTAGACTGATTCTTTCCACTTGAGTCTTCTTTTTCAAAAATGTCTTAGCTGTTTCAGTTCATTTGCATATCTATGTAAATTTTAGAATAATCTTGCTGTATCTCCAAAAAGTCTTGCTGGGATTTTGATTAAAAAGTTAGTCGCTCAGTCGTGTCTGACTCTTTGTGACCCCATGAACTGTAGGCCTACAGGTTCCTCTGTCCATAGGATTCTCTAGGCAAGAATACTGGAGCGGGTAGCCTTTCCCTTCTCCAGGGGATCTTCCCGACCCAGGGATAGAACCTAGGTCACCTGCATTGCAGGCAGCTTCTTTACCAACTGAGCCACCAGGGAAGCCCAGGATTTTGATAGAAAGTGTTTAAAACCTTATATCAACTTTCAGAAAGTTGATGTCTTCACTATGTTGAGCCTGCCGATCCATGAACATGATATGCCTTTCAGCATACAAATCCTGTGCGTGTATTATTAGATTTCCTCCTAAGAATTCTGTTTTTTGAGCAATGGTAGGTGGTGTTATATTTCTAATATCGGTGCCCATGTAGTCATTACTAGAAATATCATTGATTTTGAATGTTTATCTTACATGCTGTTAACTTGCTGATCACACTCATTAGCTCTAGGAGCTGTTTGAGATCCCTTGGATTTCCTGTATATGTAATCATATCATCTCTAAGTAGGGACAGTCTTATTTCTTCCTTTCCAATCCATATGCCTTTAAAACTTTTTAAAAATTGAAGTAAAATGTCATAACATTAAATTTACCATCTTAGTTGGTTTTCAGTTCAGTGATATTAAATACATTTATAATGTTGTGAAAAGACCCTGATGCTGGGAAAGATTGAAGGCAGGAGGGGAAGGGGATGACGGAGGATGAGCTGGTTGGATGGCATCACAGACTCAATGGACATGAGTTTGAGTAAACTCCAGGAGTTGGTGATGGACAGGGAGGCTGGTGTGCTGCGGTCCATGGGGTCCCAGAGAGTCGGACTCAACTCAGCTATTGAACTGAGCTGATGATGTTGTGAGCCATCATCACCATTCATCTTCATAACATTTAATCTTGTAAAACTGAGACGCAAACCCATTACAAACACTCCCCACGCCTCCTCCTCAGGCCCTGACAGCCACACTACTCTCTGTCTCTGTGATTCTGACTGTCTGAACACCTACATCATATAAGTGGATGCACACAACATTTACCCTTTTCCGACTGACTCGTTCCGATAGCATCACGTCCTCAAGGCCGCCCTGCTTGGTGGCATGAGTTCCTCCAACAGGGTTTGCTCTGAACCCCTGGCACCTGAATAGGTGACTTGTTTGGGAACAGGGTTTTGTGGCTGGAACGAAGATGTAGAGTCAGTGGAGACGCACAGCGGTTGAGTGGACCGTAACCCAACTTGACTGCTCTCCCAGTAAGGAGAGGTAAGACCCAGACGCATAGAGGGAAGACAGCCAAGCAGCAAGAGGTGGAGACCGGAGCGATGCCGCTGCAAATCCAGCAACTCCAGGGCTCCTCGGGGCCCACCAGAAGCTGGGGGACAGAGCACAGCTTAGCTGACCCCTTGATTTCTGACTCGTAGCTTCCAGACTGTGAGAGAGTGAAGTTCTGTCATTCTATTCACCTGGTGGTCTTTTGTTACAGCCGTCCCAGGGAAGCTAACAGAACACCAAGCTGTTCCTGGGGGTGGGCCTCCTGGGAGAATGTGGCTGGGCCCATCCCGGCTGTACCAGCTGGCTTTGGGCCGGACCACTGAGGGCAAGGACCTCCTTGAGGGTTTCATCAGCTGCAGGAGCCTCAAGGCCACCCAGCTGGGCCCAGTCCAGAGAGCAAAGTGGCAAGAAATGATCCATGGTTTTCTATGTCCCTGCATTTGGAATTTTGAGTGTGG